AAAATAAGAAGAAATGGAAAGAAATTACAAATAAAGCCTTGGGCCTTTCAGGCCTGTAGAGCTATGTATATATATATTTTACACAATTGTTGCTACTGTTATCAATGTAATTGCAGCTTCTGATGATGACGGCAAAGACCATTGAATGTCAGTTCGTTCCCTAATGGCAATAAAATATTCAAAATACGTCTCTGACATTCCGAAATGACAAATGCGCTTTCATCGTAGCAATCCGTGATCAGCAATTAATTTGCTGCTAGAGTTTGTAAACGATAATTCCGCATATGTATCAGTTGCATTATATTGATAACGATAAATATTTCAGCGAGGCTGACCGGCGATTATTCGAAACTCACGAACACACTAGGCGACAGGCGTGGCGATAGCGTTTGTTTTTTACGTTGCCTGGAAATGTTACGGAATTAGTGTTACTGGCAAGGAAGTATTAAAATCGGAAAAAAATTTAAATTGTAATATCATGTGCTTTGAGTATCACGTACATATACTAAGTGACATATAAATCAGTTTAAATGGTTTTATTTTAATAAAAGTTGGTGAATGTATTTATCTTACTGTAAATATCAAGTGAAAACATTTTCAGCTTTATCAGTTGGACATTCCGGTTTTTATACTGCTTTTTTTAATTCACTAACGCTCTAAAAATGAATATTTCAACCGCAGTAAAGAATCAACCTTGGCGGATTTTGGTTCTTGACATCCTTTACGATCGGTTACGATGCCTAGAGTACGGAGACCTGTACGATTTCGTCAACTTAGTGAGTTTGATAGGGGTCGTATAGTGGGACTTCGGGAAGCTGGACTTTCTTTTCGGGCAATTGCAGTTAGAGTGCAAAGAAGTGTAGACACTGTGGTTAGGTGTTGTCAGGCATGGCTTCGAGAAGGCCGTACGCAAAGAGTAAGAGGCACTGGACGCCACCGTAGAACAACAGACCGTGAAGATCGCCGCCTAAGATTATTGGCCTTAAGGGACCGTTTCTCCACTACCAGGTCCATTGCAAATAAATTGTTTGCGGAAGACCTATTGGCACGCGAAGACTAATGAGAAGTTTTGGCTTGTTTTCATACCGGCCACACTGGGTCCTCCCTTTAACTCGAGAACACCGACGTAATCGCCTTGAGTGGTGCAGACAACGGTCACTCTGGGATCAGGACGAGTCTCGATTTTGTTTAGGCATGCACGATGGTCGTGCCAGGGTTAGAAGGCGACGTGCTGAAAGGAGGAATCCACAGTTTTTTGTTGAAAGACATGTTCATCACACTGTTGGAGTTATGGTTTGGGGTGCTGTAGCTTATGGTTCCAGGTCACCTTTAATCTTCATCAGAGGTAACACGAAGTTCTAGAACCCCATCTTTTACTCTATCTTGACACCCTGGCAGATCCAACTTTCCAACAAGATAATGCCCGACCAAATGTTGCAAGAGTCACAATAGACTTCTTTCAACATTGTTACCATGGCTACCAAGATCTCCCGACTTATCCCCAATTGAGCACGTGTGAGATATGATGGGTAGGAGATTGCTCAATTTGCAACGTCCTCCTCAGACTCTAGAAGCACTTCGAGAGGAGTTGGTGGTTGCCTGGAATGAGATACCACAGGAGGACATTGACCACCTGATCAGAAGCATGCCTAGACGCGTTGGAGAATGCGTAGCACATCAGGGTGCATCCACACATTATTAAAGGTCAAAGAGCTTTAAAGCAGTGCAATCATTTTGAAATTTTTATCATTTACTTATTATGCTTCATTAAGTACTTATACAAAATTTTATTAAAATAAAACCATTTCAACTGGGTGTTCGGATTTATATGTCACTTAGTATATTAATTCATTAATTAATTTAAAAAAGGAAAGAGGAGTCACACCACCATTTCCTCATGTTTATAAAACAAGGCGTGGCACAGCCAGAACAACAGATCGACAGACACACTGACGAAACCTCCAAAAAACATACTTTGATATCTTTTATGTTTCGCCATTACAATACTTCATTTCCAATAAGCGTGGGAAGTGAGAATATCTATGGAGACTAGTTTCTTAGATTCTAGGTGTAGCTAGCAGAAGGCTGATAAGAGGTGAAACCGACGACGCCTTAGCTCCTGACCGCACGTGTATAATTCATGAAATTACGCGACACCACCGGCTTACGTCTGAAATCCCGAAGAATGTTTAGCATTTCCTGGAAAGCCGTTACGAATTTCAAATAACAGTTAAAGCTAATTGAATTTCCTTGGCGGCTACATTAATAAGAGAAATGGAGTTGCTGCTGTTTTCAGACGAGGCTTTTCCAGGCTTCAGGCTTTTAGCGGATGCAGGCTGGGTCATCTTTTTTCACATCGTTCACTTCCATTTATTAATTTGGTGGCGCGGTCTTTGTTTTTCGAACGACAGGGGAAAATTCAGCGCAGATGGATAATGCACACACTTACTGGATTATGTTGCATTCGCAAGCGGGACTAAAAATCTGAAATTGATACATCAGAAGAGAAGTTTTTAGTAAAATGATCAAGAGAAAAACCTGGTAAATAATTTCAAGGTTCTGAAAAAAATTGGGATTTACGTATAAAATTTTCTTTGGTTATGGACAAGATATCGAAATGCGGTTTTCGCGAGCTTGCTTAGAAAATGATCTAGTTACTTCTTCATAAAAAGTATCATACGAATGCGTTTAGTTTTTTTGAGAAACTTCTCCATTTCTATCGGAATGTTGAAGAAAGCCTTCTAACGGCCACATGTGAAACTAACAAAACTTCAAATTATATAGCATTTGTAGCCCAAGAATAGCTCTTTTCGGAAACATTTGAATACCCCTCACCACTTTATTTTTATAGATACAGCAAATAAATATAGCGGAATTCATAGAAATGTTGCAGTTACGCCCCCAGCGTAATAACTGTTTTGCCGCCTCTGCGATGGATAGGTTTCCGGATATTGTACCTCGCATTCTTAGTTGGCCACCCTGTACAATAGGATTATTTAATAAACATATGTTGCAAACTTACAAGGAATTTTCCATTAATAAGATATAATAAGAATATGCCCAAGAATGTACCTAGCATTGAGTACATACGAGGAATGTCTTTTAAGTTTTGCATATGGAAATGAAACAACTCGGTAGGTAGTTTTAAACGACTTTATTGTTTTTCGAAGTATTCTCCACGAAGATTAATACACATCTGCATGCGCTCGAACGAATTTTCGAAGCACTTATTCCACTAGTTTGCTGGCAGATCCAAAACGGCATTTTTGAATGCGTCAACTGCTTCTTCTGGTGACTGGAACCTTTGACGACGCAGTCTGTTTTTAATTTTCGGGAAAGTAAAGAAATCGTTACGACTTAGATCAGGACTATATGGAGGATGGTCCAATAATTCCACGTTTTCTTCCGTTAAATACTGCCTTGTTTTTTGGGCTGTGTACGAGTTTGCGTTGTCTTGGTGGAGGATGATTCTTTTTTCGGGGTTGATTTTTCGAAGCTCACTGATGACTTTTGGCAAACAAATGGTGGTATACCAATCCGCAGTAACAGTTATTTGCTCACTAAGAGGAATTGTTGCAATATGACCCGCTTTTGACACAAATGTCGCGACCATCTTTTTCGAAACATTTCGAGAACGGATGACTTTTGTTGGCTTATCTTCACGTTGGAACACCCAAAACAGACAGTAACTCAGCGAATCATTCTTGTTGCGATAATTGTCTCTGAAAGTTGTAATAAATTACTGCACGCATTGTTGTGAAACTTTGAATTTAAGTTTACTAAAGGGTGCGGTTAAGATTCAGCACTGACGTTCGGTCCACGCGGCCTATTATGTTTCTATATGCAAAACTTAAAAGACATCCCTCGTATTTTAGACTAATGTTAAGTAAGCAGTAACCTCCGAATTTGTCTCCAATGTCAAGAATTCCTTAAGAACTTTGTGGAGGTGCGTTTTTTGTTGTTTTGAACCAAGCAGCTTAACCTCTTGGTCAAAGGTCTATTAGGACCCTAATTTGGTTACCAACTTTTGACAAACAATTCAACTCTCAAGACAGTTCAACTTTTGAGGACGGCATTCAAGGATATAATTGCCAAAATTTGACAAACAATAATAATAACAAATTTACACCATTATTTATAATGACTACGTTATAAAAGGACGAAGTTAAGCTGATGTAGATATTCTTCCACTTGATCCAAATATCGGAAAAAATATAATAGTAAAACTTTGTAAATACATTTAAATTTCGAATATACGTAACTTTTTCTTGGATGGTGGTATAAAAAAAGCTAGTTGGAGTCTTTATTTACCGTACTATGAACGTAAGCATACAATGCATCCTCTAACCGACCGAAAGAACGCGGCAGGCACTATTTCCTAGAAATCTCATTCAAACTAGGTCGGTAAATAAGCGAACTGTATTATTTGACGTTAAAGCGCGGGCGGGAAAGAGTTGAATGCGTCTCTGCGGCTTCTAAAGTTTCGCCGAAAGTGCCTCTGCATGCTTTACACGAATCGCGGCTTAAATGATGTCCTACTCCTTTTGCTTTTGCACAGTTTCCCATAGTTTGGCAAGTTATTCTTACACAAGAAGTCTCCTAAATGAATTAAGCCTTGAGGCGTGCTGCTTTGGATTCGGAATTGGATTAAAGATTCTAATTTGGGGTGGTGAAACAGCAGATTATCTCAGTTGACAGGCAGACATCGAGTTTGCAGAGGTGTGATTATTGTTTGACAACGCAAGGTTGATATATAAGTTAAATTTTAAAAAATATATAAGTTATTTATAGGGGTCCTTCAAGTATTTCGTAAGCAGATTTATTACAATTATTTACCCCCCATGCCCCTTGTCAGTAAAAGTAAACAAAGCTCTTACCCCCTTCCCCCATGCTTACGTAAAGATTTGTCAATTAATGTATAGTTTTTTTTAATATTATAATTATAACGTTATAATTATAATTTGAAAAATAAGAAAATAGATTTAGGATAGAGATTATGTTTTACTGATACGGTGTTCAACATAGAGTAAAGGACAAAAATATTATATCTTACTAACATAACAAACTTATTTTAAATTTTTGGTACATAAATTCAAATTAACAGTCCTCAGTCCATGAAACCCGAATCCGTGATTCTAAGTTTTCGATGACATTGGATTGCTTCGATTGCTGCTCAATATTGTGAGTTTGCTCGCTTTCATCGGATTTTGGAATGTCTACGTCATTCTCATCGAGCCATTCAACATCATGGTGCTTTAAATGTTGAATAATGCACATCAGTTTATTAGCACGACGAGCACAGGTCTAACTTTCCTATCAGTGTGCGTGTTTACTTTTTTATAGATATTTTCGATGTGACGATTTAGTGACTTGACGGAAGCATGATAAAGACCACACGTTTTGCATGTTCGACTTGATAGCCTCAATTTTATCGTCGGACAAAAATAATCGTAGGGCATTTGCAGGAAATCTTTGAGTGAAGCACCTAAGTGCAGAGCTAAATTGACTGGAAGATTAAGAAATTGCCCTTCTTCATCCAAAACTAAGTCATCAACTGTTTGTTTTACTTTTACAGGTGGTGGAAGAAACCTATTGTCTAGTAATCTAAATAGGACACACAAGCAAGTATTGGCTCTCACGCACATGTTTTGAATACCATTTAATGTCTGGAAAATCAGGAAGATCTTGTGCACCTGCCCCAACATATTTTGCATTAACATTATAGCCATCAATTTCCACTGAACTCCATACTTCAGCTAATACATTTCCTGCAAATTCGAAATTAGATCTTTCTAAATGTTCATCAATTATAACGCCACGTTCATCCAAATGAGACCCAAAATGGTCATGAGGCAATATTAAACCAGCCAGTTCCCGACTAAGAGGAGCCATTCTGCGCTCTATTCTGTTATACGCACTTCTTCCGGGAGCATTAGTAGCTAAAAACAATGCATCGAGATCATGTCGCTTAAAGTGTTGTATAGCAAACCTTATGACTTTTTAATAACGTGGATTTTCATCTGACCCTCCATCATCCGTCATGATTACCACTGGTTTTACTAGTCCATGGTCAGTTTTAGCTAATGATCGAAACTATTCAAGTTCGAGAAGCGTTTCGAAATCCTGAACATGAGTATTAGCAGTAGATGAACCATGCTTTCCACTTCGAATAGCGATGTATGTTGGTCCAGAATATCCAACGGCTTGCGGTTGTCCTAGCATATTGGAAGTGATTTTGATACCAGCATAAACAGATCGTATTAATTTATGACGCTCAGCGATTACCCAATCGTGATCAGGCAATTTGATTCTATATTCCATGTGCATTATAAGAGGTACTTGCTTATTTGCCGCAGTTACGTCAATAGGGACTCGAGCTTTATCATCTTGAGATATGAAAAATACTTGATCTGGTCCAAGTATGTATGCTATGTTCTCTAAATAATGGATTGATGTTTCAGCGAACTTGCTATCTAAATGGCTCTTGTGGTGATCAGTTTGAGCCCGAATGAGCCTAACAGGGACTGTCGATACATGTCTTCGTCCCTCTGCAGAATTAGATTTTCTGGGAATCAAACGAAGATATGTCCCACTGCTACTAATGCCAAATCCTATTTTACGTAATTCTTGTGTGAGTTCATCAAGAGTTTTTACGCTGCGAATTGATTCAGTTCGTCTTCTATCATCTGCTGCACTCCCAAATAAATCTATATCTGCGATTGTTTTCAATAGTGAATGTTGATTGCTTTCAAGATTAGGACGTCCCACTAAATCCCTCAGAGATAGTCTTTTTTTATTTCTGGATTTTCATGACAAATATCTTATAACTTTCTTTTCATACCATCCCTGTGTTTCTTCTGGGCAACTGCGTTTTGAACCTTCCTGTTTAAAGACTGTTTTGCTGTCTATTTATCTGTATTTTCATTAATTTCGCATTGCTGTTGTGATTCATTACCGGGTTTTACTTTATCTTCTTTCTTTTTTTTAATATTTGAAGCTGACTGTATAATTTGTGTTTTTTATGCAGCTTTACAGGTTGCCTAAAAATAAAAACTTTCTATGGCTTCTGCTAAAGATTCTCTTATTAAGCTACATAAATACAAAGTATGGCAATATATATGATAAATATAAAACCCTTTGGCTTTAAATCTAATATGTTTTAGTATAACTTGGATTTGTCTATGTGAAACGACATCTTATTTAAACATTAAACTTTGGCTAATGGAATCAATGGTAACACAAATATTAACTTGCTTTACTATGCTTACAATACGTCTACTCGCTATAGTATCCAAACGAAACAATACATTGATAGAGGAAATTTAGACAAGTGAACACCGCGCGGTAATTCCCCTACTCGGTTCTAAAGCGAGTAGGGGAATTACCGCGCGCTGTTCACTAAAAACGTATGCATTATTTGCGGGAATCACCGAAAATGCGTTTCGTTTTCAAGCAAAGACAACGTGAGGGTTGCCATTAGTGTAAAAAAGTAAATAACTACCGATGACGTAATCATCATCTAGACTCCCCTTCCCCCCATGTCATCCAAAATAAGCAAAGCAAAAACCCCCTCGCCCCCCGATAATGCTCACGTAATACTTGAACGGCCCCATATTACGCAACGGTGAAAACATTATCGGCCATGATGTGACGTCATACAAATTATAAACAAAGAAACTTCATCCGTATAAGACTCGTGGACTAACGTTGTCTTCTTTAGATGCACATTTCTAAAAAAAACTCTTAATCAACGTAAAATTCATTGTTTTCCCGTCCTGTTGAAAATAATTATTGGATTCATAAAAGCAGCACAAATTTTTACTTTATTGACATTTTAAATATTTAGTTTGTTATTACCTCGTTTTTGCAACGAAGTAATCACAGAATGAAATAATTATTACTTAAGGTTAATTTAATGCAAAAAAGCAATTTTAAAATAATTTCACATGTCACCTTTATCAACTTGTGTCTTCAATTACATTACATACGTGATAGCAACATTTTAGGAGTTTAAAAAGTGTAGACGTATACTGGGATGTTCTAATATTCTTTTCTCTGGGAGTTCTACAGTGAACATCATTATTAAATAAAAATGTTCCCCCAAGTAACACGGCTTAGACGTAAGCGGCAGTTTGCGAACAAAAACTGAATAGTGATACTTGACCAAGTCATTAATTTTTAACCAGTTTAGAACGGGATATGTCGCTGATACATGATCAAATTTACGTAAAGACGGAACGTATACAACTGTTGCGAAGAACGTTTTCGGTAAAACTGTCTAAACATGTGAAGTATTCGATATTACAATAATTGAGTATAGAAATGAACAATGCTTCACATAGTTTTTTGGTCAACTTGAAATATAGTAAATACCTGCTTGCTAGGTTTTCTGTGAAACGACACTATACTTTTTCAGACCTTAAGAAACGTAAAGCTTCAATTTGAGAATATATACTAAGTGACATATAAATCCGAACACCCAGTTTAAATGGTTTTATTTTAATAAAACTTGGTGAATGTATTTATCTTACTGTAAATAACAAGTGAAAAAATTTTCAGCCTTATCAGTTGGACATTCCGGTTTTTATACTGCTTTTTTTTAATTCACTAACGCTCTAAAAATTAATATTTCAACCGCAGTAAAGAATCAACGTTGGCGGATTTTGGTTCTTGACATCCTTTACGATCGGTTACGATGCCTAGAGTACGGAGACCTGTACGATTTCGTCAACTTAGTGAGTTTGATAAGGGCCGTATAGTGGGACTTCGGGAAGCTGGACTTTTTTTTCGGGCAATTGCAGTTAGAGTGCAAAGAAGTGTAGACACTGTGGTTAGGTGTTGTCAGGCATGCCTTCGAGAAGGCCGTACGCAAAGAGCAAGGGGCACTGGACGCCGCCGTAGAACAACAGACTGTGAAGATCGCCGCCTAAGATTATTGGCCTTGAGGGACCGTTTCTCCACTACCAGGTCCATTGCAAATAAATGGTTTGCAGAACACGGACGACCTATTGGCATGCGAAGTGTTTACCGACGAATGAAAAGTTTTGGCTTGTTTTCATACCGGCCACACTGGGTCCCCCCTTTAACTCGAGAACACCGACGTAATCGCCTTGAGTGGTGCAGACAACGGTCACTCTGGGATCAGGAATGGAACAGTATTATTGTCTTTACTGACGAGTCTCGATTTTGTTTAGGCATGCACGATGGTCGTGCCAGGGTTAGAAGGCGACGTGGTGAAAAAAGGAATCCACAGTTTTTTGTTGAAAGACATGTTCATCACACTGTTGGAGTTATGGTTTGGGATGCTATAGCTTATGGTTCCAGGTCACCTTCAATCTTCATCAGAGGTAACATGAACGCGCAGCGTTATCTCCACGAAGTTCTAGGACCCCATCTTTTACCCTATCTTGACACCCTGGCAGATCCAACTTTCCAACAAGATAATGCCCGACCACATGTTGCAAGAGTCACAATAGACTTCTTTCAACATAATGATGTCACTTGTTACCATGGCCACCAAGATCTCCCGACTTATCCCCAATTGAGCACGTGTGAGATATGACGGGTAGGAGATTGCTCAATTTGCAACGTCCTCCTCAGACTCTAGAAGCACTTCGAGAGGAGTTGGTGGTTGCCTGGAATGAGATACCACAGGAGGACATTGACCACCTGATCAGAAGCATGCCTAGGCGCGTTGGAGAATGCGTAGTACATCAGGGTGCATCCACACATTATTAAAGGTCAAAGGGCTTTAAAGCAGTGTAATCATTTTGAAATTTTTATCATTTACTTATTATGCTTCATTAAGTACTTATACAAAATTTTATTAAAATAAAACCATTTAAACTGGGTGTTTGGATTTATATGTCACTTAGTATATTTATATTTTTGGGTTTATCGATCAAAATACCAATTTTCAAAATTATCTAATTTTTCAGTATTTCCAAATATTTTAAAGCTTTCGAGATTTTCAAAAAATTCAGAATTCTCACAAATCACAAGTCTCAATTTTTCAAAAATATCCAAAACCTTCAACTTTTAGGATTATAAAATTTTTAGAAATATTCAAAATTCAAAAGTTTTCACTATTCTCAAAATTTTAAAAATCCTCGATATTTTAAAAATTTTTAAAATTACTAAAATTTTCAAAATTACCAGTAATCACAATTCTATTTTTTTAAATATCCATTATTTTCAATGGTTTCAGGATTTTAGGAATTTTAAAAAAATACAAAATTTAAAAATTTGCAATATTTTCAATATTTTCAAAATTTTAAAGATCCTCCAAATTTTCAAAATGGTTTCAATATTTAAAAAATGCCAAAAATAAACAAAACTAAAATTCTAAATATTTTAAAAAATTTAGAAAATATAGGAAATTTTAAAAATTCTAAAAATTTTCAGAATTTTCAATTTTCAAAGTGGCCGCTAGATGGCACTTTATGCTGTCTTATATTGATAGACCTCATACTCTGCTGAAGAGATGCCAAATAGTACGGAGCAGCTGTCTACCGTTAGCCGTCTATGGCTGGACAAGCGAAAACTATATCACTAGTTTGCTCAGTGGCGAGTAGACCAAACCTACTACAGCACCAGCATTAGCTACATCTATCGGCCATAGTAGTGACCCGGCTGACAATACGTCCTGGGATACAGTTACAACAAACTCGCAGTGGCAGATTCTGGTAATGGCATGTTAGCTGACCACATTTTGCATACGA